GGAACTACATGACGGCGCGTTTTCAAGGGAACAAAATAAAATCCCATTTTTCATGATTCTCAGAAAGATTTCAGGTGAACTGTGTCAGACGTATGTACAGCTGTGGGGCAGGTTCCCACCGTTCTGTGAACACATGGTATAAAATGGCTTGGCAGGGTGCCACGGCTTTGTTGGAAGCCCAGCAGCTCACCTCTGACCCCTGTTTTTGCTTTTAACTGAAAGGACCACATAGTGCTTTATCGGCACACACTGTGATTTTGCAAACAGGGCTCAGAAGCAGAACTGAGAAGCCTCTGGATACATTTCAGCCCATAGACTTCCTGAGGCTGGTTTCTTCTCCCTTAGACCAGGCTCCTTAAACTTGTGCACTGGTCAGGTGCCTGGAGAATTCAGACCCGGAGCTTTCCCCAAGCCCCTGTGATGCGTTCTGGGAGAGCGGTATGAAAGCAGGGCGGGTAGAGCTTGGCTTCGCCTGGCGTTGCCGTGTCCTTCACTCACTGTTCGTTGTTGCTGCCCCTCATCGGGCACCTGTTCCCTTGCACAGGTGTTTCTGTGGAGCATGCGGTCCTACACATTAATCCGGAAGCTAGAAGGCCACCAAAGCAGTGTTGTCTCTTGTGACTTCTCCCCCGACTCTGCCTTGCTCGTCACGGCCTCTTACGACACCAACGTGATCATGTGGGACCCCTATACTGGCGAGAGGCTTAGGTTACTCCAGTAAGGACGGGGTCTCTCCTTCGGACCTTGTTGCGGGGGAACTGATGGGAAAGCTGCCTTGGGTTAGGCATGGCCCGCGCAGGGTCCAGGGCGGGGGAGGCAGGGGCGGGGCGTTCCTGGGTGAAAGGCATGGGGAGCTCATGCTGTGGCGCTTCTTTGTCACTTAGATTCTCAGTTTAGACCCGAGGGCCTTCGGGGCTCCCGATGTAGGAGGCTGTGTGTACTTCTCTGGATTCAGCGTTCATGAAACCTCAAAGTGACTCTTTCTTTCCATTTACTAATAACTGTAGTAGCAAGTTCAGAACAATCCTCTTACCGAAACTGGAATTTCCAAAATGAATTTTCAATGTTCTTACAAACTTGCATCTTTTTCTCTTTGTCTCTGTTGTTTTCTGAAGCAAATAATAGGTAGCCTATAATTATCATGTATCTCAGCCAAGAAAAGACTTTCAGTTTGTACCGCAGCATTAAAGTGAGGGCTGACCTACTTTGCATAAGGAAATGAGCACAGGGAGTGTGAGTAACCCTCCAGCCCCTTTTGCCAGACACTTAGGAAATGCGCTTTTTTTTTCTCCTAGTCTGCTTTTCCCGAGGTTTTCCAGAGGGGGTGAGGACGGGTCTTTGAGCTTATCATAGCCCCAGCACTGGAGTGAGGACGCGGAGGGTGGAGAGTAGCCATCACCCCAGGCCAACCGTCCTCTTTCTTCTTCCACAGCCACGCCCAGCTTGACCCCCCAATGGATGACAGTGATGTGCACATCAGCTCCCTGAGATCTGTGTGCTTCTCTCCCGAAGGCCTGTACCTCGCCACGGTGGCAGATGACAGGTAACAAAGAGACATCTGGGGGTGTGGCCTCAGGGCAAGTCCCCGCAAGTAACTGTAGCATCCCCCTCTGGAGCCGGCCCCACGGCTACTAACGTGCCAGTGTTTCTCTTCTCTCTCGTCCAGACTCCTCAGGATCTGGGCCCTGGAACTGAAAACTCCAATCGCATTTGCTCCTATGACCAATGGTCTTTGCTGCACATTTTTTCCACATGGTGGAGTTATCGCCACAGGGTATGTGTCTGATAGCTGAGCAGATGGGGAGCAGTTTCTGCTGAGTGTACCGGCTAGCTTTTTAAGGAAAGCAGGCCTCTAGAATGTTCTTGCCTATGATGAAGCCTTTAAGGAAATCACATAAAATTCTAATATTTTATTTTGCCAGGATAGGTTATCATTTACTCTTAATAGTTAATCTAAGAGTAATGAAAGAGTTAAGACTCATGCCACTTAATGGGCCACGTCCACAAGGAGGCCTGAGTCGGGATGATGCAGAATTTCTGGGAAACCATTTAGGGCAGAGACCACCTTGGTGGGGAGCATTTATAATTCAGGAGGCGGCACTCTTCCCTCTGTTGCATTTGAACTCACGGTGTGATTCAGAAGGGGCCGAGCTCACGGGTAGCACGTGGGTATTAGAGGTGTCTTGAGTCCTTCTGATCCTTTCAGCGGCCTGAATTATTCAGCATCACACCCTTTACATCGATTTCGACCGTCAGGATTGCATCTAATGGCCGCGCATCGCACTCCCCGGGTGTCTCCTGCTAATGCAAGTGAGAGTAGAAACATTAGTATCCCTCACTGGGAAAACATGTGTTTCTAAGGTCTCTTTTAAAGCGCCGGTTTCTGTTCCATTTCAGGACAAGGGACGGCCATGTCCAGTTCTGGACGGCTCCTCGGGTCCTGTCCTCACTGAAGCACTTATGCCGGAAAGCCCTTCGAAGTTTCCTGACCACCTACCAAGTGCTAGCACTGCCGATCCCCAAGAAAATGAAAGAGTTCCTCACATACAGGACTTTTTAAGCCATGCGCCATAGTCTTACTTGTTTTCTTGTAGCAGGATCAAGCTTCCTGGCAGAGGAACAGCGGGAACAGTGGGCCAAATGGCTGGTCTTGGATTGAAATAGAATTTCTCTTTGACATGGTGACCAGAGTAGAGCAAAAGCAGCTTCCGGTGGACTAGTCATCCAGGTTTTCTGCGTGGCCTGTGGCAGTCAGTCGTGGAGGGGATCCCGGCTCCGTGGCGGCAGAGCCTAACCCCAGATCCTCAGCCCACTTAGAAACGGCTGCGTCAAACACTTTCTAAAATCCTTTCGACCCAGAGTGCGTGACTCATGTTGATTTGACCCGCAGAGTAACCAGGCCTCGAGAGCCTCTCTGCTGGGTGGATCATTCCCTCGATTGGCAAGTGGGCAAGTGTTGGCTTCTGCCTGGTACTTGTCACTGTCGTGTTTCAGATGCGGTGGTGACTTTGTTGAAAGTTCTCTCCCGCTGTGTCAGAGTGGCTTTGCTGGTGGCAAGTGCTTTCCTTCCTCGAGCTCCCCTCTGACCAGCAGGACCAGGTTTTCATGGAGCCGTCCGCTGTGAGGTATTCCCTAAGTTACAGATGACTCAGAGGCTGTGCTCCTGACTGATACACTATAAATGGCTTTTTTTTTTTTTTTGGATAAGCAGTGGTGTGCATGTGCAGGAGATGACAAACGCGTGTGTCCGGTTACACAAGGACGTATTCCTCAACTGCATGACTGTCCAAAATGGAGACTGAGTTGTCGGTGGTTTGCTGGTGGTAGCCTATTTATTTGTATTTTCTCAACAGATGTTAAGGTACAACTGTGTTTTCCCCCCTGGTATCTAAAAACCATAGTTCTTAAGTCGAACGGTTGTGAAGATGTCTCTTCTTCGTGGCGTAGAGAATTGGTGTTGTCGCCCCTTTGGCCGACTGTCGCGTCTGAGGTCTGACTTTGCTGCTTTGCCTCATCGGACAAGTCAGCCCGTTTCACCTCTTCCCCCTTAACAAAAATAGCTCCTTGAAAGTACTGTTCTCCTTCAGCGGCATGTAGTTCTCTGATCAAGACACCTCATTGCAATGAAATCTGCCTTTGGAAAATTTAATATATTTTAAATTATTTTAAAAGAAATGCAACATCTTATCCTTTGGCTTTCTTACTAGGTGCTTTGTGGAGGCCAGTGTTAACGTGATAAAACCTGTCGCAAAAGTACAAGCGTCTCCTCTACCGCCTTTGTTGCTGGAGAAAAAAAACATTTCTTTTCGAGATGAAAGGCTTTCGTTGAAGGAAAAGTTAAAAAGCTTTTGGTTGTTTCATTTTTTCCACTAAGAAAAAAAAAATACGACCTTTTTAAAACAAGTGAGGACAGTGGGGAACGGCTGGGGCCAGTTTTACTCCTTGGGGCCATCTTGAACGTCCCGGCACAGCCCAGGAGGTTCTGGGTGGCTTCCCTGAGGCCCCCGCTGGCCGTTAGCTTCAGACTTTGCTCGGGGAGCGAGGTGTCCGTGGATGTGGGAAATAACCAACCTCTCCCTTTTGATAGTCTGAGAAGCTGACACCTTCAGAGACAGCAGCCTCTGAAGGAAGCGTGATCTCTGACATGGGGGTGGGGGGGAGGATCTCACATACAGGCAAGTTGAGTAAGTCCGCGTCTTTCTGACTGGGGAAGGAAGAATCGCTCCTGAACAGCCAGCATGCAAGCTGCTTTATTTTTACCGAAAAGAATGCGATCAACAAAGGCAACCTGTTTGCTGCAAGAGAGACTGCCACCCCGTCCACAGGGCCCTGTGCTTCCCGCATTGGTGCTGGTTGGGGGGTGGGTTTGGAGCCCAGCCCCAGCGCACCTGCCCCGCCCGCACTGACAGAAGCCCCAGGTCCCTACCCCTGCTGTCCCTGCCACAATTAGGAACGTGCTAGTAGAGCAGAAATAAAAAGACAATTTTAAAGTAAGACAGCTGAGCCCATTTATAAGAGGACAGCAGTTTGGGCCAGAAATCGATGCACGTCTCTTTTTCTTCTTTGACACCTACTCAGAGCAGATCCGGAGACTGCGCCCCCATTAAGATCTGTGCACTTCCATGTGGGGCTCCTCTGTTCACCTGGAGTTAGAAGACGCTGCCCCACGGGCGGTTGGGAAGCCCTAGGTTCTAGACCAAAATGGAACAGGCCGATTTCCTGCCTTCCAAGCAACTGAAAGGTAAAAGCCTTAAGGCTTTAAAAAAACAAAAAAACCCCAAAAAGCTCATTGCGCTTTCTTCTTCCCTATAAAACACAAGTGGGCAGTGCAGCAGAGAGCTGGGCGTTACAGCTGTTCTTTACCTGCTCTGCCCGGCCTCAAATGCTACTTTCTGAACCTTGGCCCAACCACGCCGGGAACAGAGTTTCCCAAAGCTTGGGGCGATCGTGGTGTTCGTGCCCAGCTGTTAATTCAGTCCCACCGTCTGGTCTCCGCGAGGCCCGCGAATGGCTGCGAACAGGCCCCGTGTTCAGGCCTCTGTGACAATCAGGTCCCTGGTGACCTGGAAAGCGGCAATGAGGGAACTCAGCTGAATCTTCTCGTTGGTGCCTACAGAGAGTCTGTACCTAAAAGAAATCAAACAAAAGGTGAGAATAGAGTATCGTGGTCAGCTGCCTCTTGACAAGAGAACGAGAATAGGCCGGTCACCTTCGGTGTCCCCTGACATTTTCCTCTCTGCCCTGAACACTCCATTTATCAATTCCACTCAAGCTGGTAAGGAAAAATTGAATTTAAAAAAAAGTTATCAATGGCAGTGTTCTGAACTTTGTGCTAGCTATCTAGACATAAGCGGAACTGAAGTGATAAGGATTTATTTCTTCACTCACAAAATGCACTGAGAGAAGGTTTCCTTAATTCACTTACAAGAATGATGGACTGTGGTTCTGTGGCCTAGTTAGTAAAGCAGGACACTGGTGATTCATCTTGCCACCTTTCCAGGGCCCAGCCAGTGAAAGCAAAATCATGATGTTTGTCACGTAGGGAGAAGTGACCTCGTGTGCATGTGAGAGCCCACGATAGCCAATCACAGTTGGTCCCATGCTGGCGTCTGTTTTGAACCCAATGCTTCTGTGCACTTACATGACTGCTGCCAGCTTCACTGGGGGCTAATGACTATTTATGGCATTAGTGGAACATGGAGTTTGTGTTTACTTTGCCTCCCAATATGCTTTGTTACAGCAAAAGGCTTTAATAACAGCTGGGCAGCTGCTCGTCCCCAAATGACCTCGATGCTGGAACTGAAGTGGGCGTCCAGGTAACGGCACTTCTCGAACCAATGTGGACCAAGCCTTTGAGGTCTAAGGAGAGGCCTTTATCTCCAACATGTTACTGAGCCGAACCTGTCCTTGTGTTCATTCGTATATTTAACAAGCAAATCAAACCCTTCCCGTGTTTGTTTCAGTGCTCCCACCAAAAACTAGATTATGCCACGTAGGAATGACAAAGTTGGAAGCAGACAGGTAGAAAGAAAAAATGCACAAGAGAGTAAAAAAAGGAAAGGAATCAAAATCAGGAAGCACTCACTCTATGTCTGCCATTTTGGCCAATAAATGTACTCGAACTGAAGATGGAAAGTCAACTGTGGGGAGAAACAAATTCAAATGAGTGAGGGTCTGCCACTCCCTAATACAATAAAAAAAAAAAAAAAAAAAAAGTCCCACGACAGTTATGAGCTTAAACATCAGGGGACACTAAAGGTGTCTGGAGGCATCAGGTCACTAGCTGCCACCTCTAAGAAAGTGAACACTGGATGAGTCTTCAGTTTTTACCCATTTTGCAAGCAAGTTCCAAAGTGATCACAAGAACCCAGAAGAGGTATGGACGCTGCTTTAGGAACGGGGCAGCTCAAGAATGAACGGGAAAGCCAAGCTCTCACTTGTTCTGCCAATTTTAAAAACAAATCATTGATCTTTAAATCTATTCCTACTCATTGTCCACAATCCAAGTGCAGAGCTGGGCTCCAAACGACCACATTCTCGGTCAGCTGGCCTGGGTGAGGCCCTGAGAGGCACGGGCAGGACATTCACGGACCCCACTGTTGGCAGCTGGCTGCCGGGGGGGGGGGGGGGGGGGAGCTGCCCCGAGGAGGCTGCATGGCAGGTCACCCGGGGAGCCTGAGAAAATCCGGATGCCCCCAAACGGCTAAGTGATTGGTCTGGGTGATTCCTCCGTACTGCCAAGGTTGAAAACCAGGTCTCTGTACAGAAGATACGGCAGAGTATGGAATTTAAGGACGGTTTAGTTCAGACTGCTCTGCTTTATGCCCTAGACACACGTTCCTCCTCTTTCTTCCCTTTTGGGGGAAAATACCCTGGAACAAATACCTTTTGGAACAAAGTTTTAAATAGCAACAAGAGAAAACAAAAACTGGGGGGCCAGGTTTATGCTTCATTCCCGTTTCTCTGCTTCAAAAGCGAAGCCTCGTGTTCCCTCGCTCCCGCCCTTAACCGCCCCGCTCACCGCCTCCCGCAGCTTCTCAGCTGGGGAAGACTGAGTTACCTCTGTGCACGAACAGGTGGATCTCGGTCAGGATGTCATGGAGCGCCAACCCCTTCAGCGTCTTCAACTCCATAATATCTAGAGACGAACAGTTAAGGCAAAGGGCCGGGTTCCGGAGCAAACACCCCGCACGGCAATTTGAATCCCAAGCCCGTTGGGGGGGACTTCTGGGAAATCTTCTCACCCCAACGTGATGTCTGAATCTAGCTGTGTCAGGTGGGCTCCAATTGTAACCTGTCCTAGGTTTTCATCTTCCACAAGTGCTTTCTGATAGACCTGTCTCTGCCCAGTAGAGGACAGAGCCGAATGCATCCCCCAGAAGGCCTCCTCTCACTGCCCCTGGCTTTAAATCTCACAGCAGAACCAGAGTAATGCTGCCACTCAGGAAGGATCACATCTGGGGCGCCTGGGTGGCTCAGTGGGTTAAGACTCTGCCTTCCACTCAAGTCATGATCTCAGAGTCCTAGGATCGAGCCCTGCATCGGGCTCTCTGCTCGGCAGGGAGCCTGCTTCCCCCTCCCTCTCTGCCTGCCTCTCTGCCTACTTGTGATCTTTATCGGTCAAACAAAATCTTTAAAAAAATAAAAGAATGAGCACATCTGCCAGACCCAGCACCAAGGTTGTCCTGCTGCTCGCATCCATAAGCAAGGGGGCCTCAAGCTGTACCCACGTCAGACTCCTTCGGGAAGAACGTGAGGGCCTTAAAGACGAGGACCCGCTCCACCCCCAGACACGTGTTCCCTCAGCAAGCGGACCAGCCCCACAAGCAGCCGCTGTCTCTGGCCAGCGGGGTATGGGTGCTGGCTGTGGCCTGGGCTCCTGGGCCAGGCTCGGGCCTCAGGTACGTGCACCATAAGCACGACGTGAGAAAGGATACTTCTGTAGGCCGTGGTGAAGTCTTGATTCAACATCCAGTCCAGAATGTTGGCGATGTCGGACTTGAGGGGGTGCCCGGTGCACGTGTAGACCGTCTCCTCCGTCACCTTCCCGAAGGCCATGTTGGTGCTCTGTGCAGACAGAGGGGGAGAATCGTGACACTCACAGCGGCCACCACGCTGCAGGCGGGTCAGGAGGGAGCTGAGGCAGCCGAGCAGGTGTTCCGGCTCCAGAGCCCGTCCCTCGATTTCCCTGGTTTGCGGCACATTAGTCTTTCAGTTACTCAAAACCCAAAGGTGGTAATTAAATTAAAACAAAACAAAACAAAACAAAAACAGAAAAACTTAAGATGTGTAGGATGCTGGGACAAGGCCTAAGAATGTGCATTTGCCACATACATCAAGTGACCTTTTAAAAGTTACAGTGAATTCTCTTCTCATTCCTTAACTCATTCCTTCACTCTCTTACTTTTTCTCTCTGAATATATGTATTTTAAATTGTAATATAGCACATAATCTTTATTTGAGAAACTCAAAGAAATTAAGAAACTAAGCACAAGCTATAATTCTAAAGGATGATTATATCTAGGAATATAAAATGGGATATGAAATTGGAAAAAAAAAAAAAAAAAAAAACCCAAAGGTGGGGGGAGATCAGTGGTACATGATGAGATTGAGATCCTACCCGTTTCTCGATTTCTGAATTTACAGGTTGGCTGTGCTACTGCTTTTGTCTTTCTCGAAAACCACTTCCAAAGTGGCAGCTCGAGGTCTGCCCCAGCGGCACCGTACCTGCAGAATGTTCAGAGCCCTTCGCATGTCTCCGCTGGAAAGGGTCACGAGTGCTTTCATCCCGTCCTCACTCAGGTCCACTCTGAAAGGAACGAGGCAGGAGGAAGTAAGAGGCCCTCAGAAAGCACGAGCATTCACCAAGGGAGCGACTAAGGCTTTGAAATAATGAAGAGAAAAGGGAAGGACACAGTTAAGAGTACTCTCCCGATCGGTGGGGGATCTCGAATTCGCTCTGGTCTTCAGGGCTGTGGGCTTCACATTAGCAGTGACCACCCACCCCGAGTCGGGAAAGACCCTCACCGAGGACCAAGCATTGCTGTGTTGAGCAACTGGCCTTGAATTCTGTTCTGAGAGGCAAGTGCGCTGGCGAGAGCTGTGGTCACGGAGGCAGAGCACCCCGCTTCAAAAAGCAGCAGCTTGGGCTGGCTACGGGCTTGGCAACTGGTTAGACAGAAGGTAATGTCTCAGTACCTTCCCTTCTAGTCCCAAAAGGCTGGAGGCATCTTAGCAGAAGGGACTCTGGCAGCACGCAGTTGCCAATGACAAAAGAAGAGTAGGAGGAAGTCGGGACAGCTTCCAGGGGAGGAGGATGGAATCAAGAGAAGAACCAAGTGCCTCCTGCGAAGGCTGTCCGTGAGACGCCGGGGGGCCAGCAGCTCGCAGACCCCGATGCTGACTCTGGGCCAGGCACCCGCCTTAGCTCTTAACACGCCTCATCACCTTCGACTGTAAACCCGCCAGCCAGCCCAGGGCCCTGCCTCCCCGTCCCCAAGGCCCTCGGCTTTCCTGCTTTCCTCTGTACTTACTTCTCTTCTTCTATGACGTGTTCCAGGCGGGGGACCATGAGTTCAGGAGTCAGGGGGCCGAATCGGAACCTTGTACACCGGGACTGCAGGGCGGGGATGATCTTTGACAGGTAGTTACAGATGAGGCAGAATCTGGTATTTTCCGTGAATTTCTCAATCACTGGCAAGGGAAAAGAAAACCAGCTCCTGTCCATTCTGAGCCTTCCAGAGCCCTGGAGGCCCCGCACTCTTCCATGCTCACGTGTACGAGCAGAGGCCGTCCTCGGGTCAGGGCGCTATGGGAGCGAGGGGCTGTGGCTGGGGTGGCCAGGACTGGAAGCCAGCCATCCTCCTCCCCAAAGCTGACAGACATGCCACTTCAATGAGATTTTATAAAATGTGTCCCTTCCTTCTGAGGTGCCATGATTCTGGCATCCTTGCCATCCTGCTCTGCGGCGCTATGAAATCCAGTATTTTTGTCCTTTTGCATAAAACTCCACCTGGCAGGTTGATGACGCCCCACCTTCTAATGGGGGCGAGGGGGTGGCTTGTTGTGGACTTCCCGGTGGACTCTGTCTCGAAGCCTTAGAACATTCGACAGAGCGCCAGTCAAATTCAGCAAGCTTAGGAAACACCGGGTGTGTTCTGTAGTTACCCAATGTTCTCGCACGGGGACCTGCCCAGATTGACAGTCACTGTGCAGAGCAAATGCTGAAGAAAGGCTGCCAAAGCTTTTAAGATCAGAAGACACTCTAACTGTCCTCCTCCTCCCCTTAAACCCACTCCTTCTCCCAACTCCGCAAGACCGTTCCTGTCTCCTAGCTGATTACCTCAGAATCTTAACGAGAGAGATTACCAGTGTCCTTTCAAAGAAATCCACTGCACCAGGGCCCTAAGATAGACAACTCATTTGTTACTCTCCTTCCCTGCCAGATCAGCCCCTCGGCAAATACAGAAGTCATGTCAACTTTCTGAGTGTGACTACGTTTCCAGAATTGTTTTCCTGGCTACTATCTACCTTAGGGTACCAAGAGCAGAAAGTTCTACCCAGGAGTTTAGGAACAACAGACTTTCCATATCTACCACCCCCCATTCTAAGACTACAAATTCTCAGGACGCCTGGTTGGCTCAGTCGGTTAAGTTGCTGCCTTCAGCTCAGGTCATGATCCCAGGGTCCTGGGATCGAGTCCTGCATCGGGATCCTTGCTCAGCAGGGAGCTTGCTTCTCTCTCTGACTCTGCCTGCTTGTGCTCTCTCTCTCTCTCTCTTTCTGAGAAATAAATAAGTAAAATCTTAAAAACAAAAAAACCCCCTACAAATTCCCAACCCCACATTGAACCCCAGGGAAGAGGATGGGACACCAATGTCTGGTCAGACTTAAAGTCCCACCAGGGCCTCTATCTTTCAGCTGCTGAAAAGGGAAACCCCCAGTACCGAGAACTTTGGTCTAGATCGTCAGGTGGGATACAGAAAGGTCAGCAGATTTCTCTGGGCCAGAAGATGAAATCGGTCAACAAGCCACCGCATGTCTCATGTCCCAAGAGCCTAATTCTCTCTCAAAGGCACTCCTGAGCCAACACACCATTTCCGGGAGTGCTTCCTACCTCTCCTCAAGGCGTTCTGGGCATCCTGAGTCATGGCGTCCGCTTCATCCAGAATCACTAGTTTGAAGCCTTTCCTAGGAAAACAAATGGCACCATCTGAAGAGGTCTTCATTCTCACCTCCACTTCTGGGCCGAACCAGAAGCTGTGCCTTCAGGCTGTGCCATCAGTCTCTGCCTCAGAGAGTCCATTCCTCCTCGACCTGAGCAAAGCAGGCATCTGTGGTCACACAGAGGACGTGCCTGTCACTCTGCTCTTAGAGGAACTGAGGTCTGACTTGGGCATTTTTGTTACATTGCTCCCCCTGGCACATTCACCTTTCTTCTGTGCACACATGGTGTCCTGTTCCTCGGGCCTGGCTCTGCTTTTCTCCACCACCTTCGCCCTCGCGCATGCCTGTCTTTTCATCTTTCCCTTTGTTTACCACCTCCCCGTGATCCCTCCCGATCTCAATTCATTTTTGTTCAAATTCAAACTAGCTCATCTGGTCTTAGGATGTAAACAGTTTTTGGTTAACTAATCAAATGAAGTTAACGCTTCCCAAACAACCTGCTAATATAGACTTAGGTCATATTTTATTTTGGAATTATTTCTTACTAGCATCTTTGTACCTCTTTTTCATGGCTACTTTTGGTGAAGTCATTTTGTACCTTTACAGACAAGCAAAGGGGAGGATTAAAAAAATAAAGCTCTGTCATCTCACTGATCAGAGTCTCTAGGGAGAGAAATTATGCAAATAATTCTTACTTAAATATTGTCCTTGTGCTAGCAAAGCTCAGGATGGGTCCCCGAACGATATCTATTCCTCGGTCATCTGAAGCATTCAGCTAATGCGGGAGAGAGAAGCCAGAGTAAATTAGAAACATGTTTGTATGTCATCTATGAACTTACTTATCTTTTCATCCCTCCAGCTCGGCAAGCTAGGTCTCTAGGTCTAACGACAGCTATGAAATAAACACTATTAACAACCAAGATCACAACTGTATTTAAAACTCACAACTCACTGCACCATTACATTACGTTCTGAAAGGCAAATGACTGTGTTTCCTTCCGCACTGGAGGACAACCACTGACATACTCTGGCGGAGTAACTCATTGGCCTGACCACAGTGAACAGCACCTCTGGCATGAACAGAATCATGCTGATTTGAGCCACCACAACCCAGAGCAACCCAGAAGTTACCAGTCTTTAACATACTGAAGGAAGAACACTGGTAGCAGTAAGGTTCTAAGATCTATAATGAAAAAGTTAGTTAGACATTTTTTTCTTGCAATAGACAATATTTGCAATTTTGTAATCTAAGGGTATCATCAGTCTACTCTCAGAGCAAACAGATGGCATACGCAAGTTCAGGGATTTGAAGAGAATGACATGTAGAGAGACTTGAAACGGTGCGGGGGTGGGGAAACCACAAGAGCTGTGCAACTCCTCTGCAACTGCTGGGGCCCACTACCAACCCCAGGTCTTAAGAGGTGAGTGGGGGAGTGGTGCTGGCAGCTGGAGAAGGCTGTGGGATCTGCCCAGCAGGTGGGGATGCTGTCAGCCTGTGGTGACCCCCCCGACAGAACCAGGCACTGTTCTCCCGACTCCTGCCAGGGCCCCTATTGGCCAAACGTAACCAGGGGGAGCCAAAGGACAAGGCAGCCTATAGTCAAGACAATTCAGCCTTCCAGGGCAAGGACGGGAGGGAGCCATACGGAGAAGAACTCTGGATGGGCACGTCAAAGACAGCAAGCCACCAAGTGACCACTCACTGAGGGACCCCAGAGTGTTTGCGTGTAAGTTGGCAAAGGCAAAGAAAACTATCCAGCCCTACCACTGCCCTCTAGCTAATGCCCATCCAGGCCCAAATGTCGACTCTAGACAAAAGCCGCTCGAGATATTTTGTCTGTTTCTTTCCCCACCTCCAGCACAGCAACTTACTTGTAAAGTGCGACAAATCTAAGAGAACTAAGAGACTCGAGTTCTTTGCAGAGCGCGAAAAATCCTCTTACTTACCTCCAAGACCATGGAGCCAAATTCCTTATCTTTGTACAGCTGTTTTGCACAGGCCAGGATGGTGGAGGTCTTTCCCGTCCCCGGAGGACCATAGAGAAGCAGGTGCGGCAGGCGGTCTTCACTAATAAATTTCTGAACTGAGGATCGGGAAGAAAGAGAGACCCCGTCAGTGTCCAAGAGTTGCCTCATTCACCTGGGCCCTTGAGTTGGCTTGAATGCACTTCACGTTCAAAGGAGAGGCAGATGCAACAATGAAAAATCTGAGGGACTCGGCTCTTACAGCAACATTCCATAAAGCTCAGTCAGATACTTCAAGGTTATTACTCAGCAGAGACATCACCAAGAAATTTATACAGGTCCTCCAACTAGAATGACAGCAACTGACACACGGATGCTTACTGGTACTCAAAATGTCCTGATGAGAAATCAGATCGTTCAGTGTCTGTGGCCGGTATTTTTCAACCCTGAAATAGAATGTAGCATGGATTACAATACATATGAATGCAAGAACATGCTGTCTGTCATGTGCAAAAAGAACGCTTTCATATCCTAATGAAAAGAAAAAGGGAAATAAAGTCCTTTAACTTTGAATACAGACCACTGGTTCTCAACCAGGGACAGTTTCATCCTCCAGAAAACACTTGGTGGTATCTGGAGACATTTTTAGTTGTCACAGTTGGTTGGACGGTGCTACAGGCCTCCAGTGGATAGGCACCAGGAATGTCACTAAACATCCTACAATGCACAGGGAAGCCACCACGCCTGGCCCCAGCAAGGTTATAGCCCAATATGCCCACAGCACTGCTCTCATTTTACCTTTCCAGCTATCTGCCTATAAATAATCTCAACCTGGATGGGCACCTACTATTTCAAAGTAAATTAAAAACTGAACTCACTGGGGAACCTGGGTGGCTCAGTCGGTTAAGCATCTGCCTTTGGCTCAATTCCTGATCTCAGGGTCCTGGGATTTTGCCCTGCCTTGGGCTCCCTGCTCATCAGGGAGTCTGCTTCTCCCCCTCATGCTCGCGCTCGCTCTCCCTTTCTCAAATAAATAAATAAAATCTTTTAAAAAGATTGACATCAGACATATACATCAGAAGATGAACGGGCAAGTAAGTGGTGGTCGATCCATACAACGGATTATCCACCCATAAAAAGGAATGAAGCACCCACACCCACTACAACATGATGAATCCCGAAAACATGATGCTGTGAAAGCCGCATCTCCAAAGGCCACATATCGATTCTATTTATATGACCAGCCACAATGGGCAAATTCAGAGACAGATTAGCGGTGCAGGAAGGGGAAGGTGGGGATGGACAGTAATTGCCCATAAGTATGGTTTCCATCTGCGGTAAGTGAAAAATTTGGGAACTAGAGAGTGACACGGTAGCACAACATTCTCAAAGTACTTAAAGTCACGGAATTATACCCTTTACAATGTTTTACAACTGTAAACGGTATGTTATGTGTTTTTTTCCACGATAAAAACAAACTGAACTCCTTCTTAGACAAGACCAACTTGGAGCTTTCAAAGACATCAGGACGGATCCCATCAGTTTCTAAAACAACATTCAGAGGCAACCATGAAAGTAGGATGGTTACGAGTGCAAGCTCTCACTTCGCCTGGGTTCAAATCCCAACCTGTTTCTAGCTCCGGACCTGAGGCAAGTCCTTTAACCTTTTGGGTTTACAAGTAGAATAATAACCACCTCCCTTCTAGGGTCTTTGTAAAGATAGAACATCTAACAGGGTCCCTGCTAATCTAATAAGAAGCCATTTAAATACAACTTAACTGGGAAGCGTTATTATCATCATGATCATTTCAGTTTAGAATTTGAGCAATAATTGCATCGGAGATCCCGGCAAGAGTAGAGAGCATTTTGGCACGAAGGCCGATGCAAAGTCAGAAGATGCGGGATCTAACCCCAGGGCTGTCACCCGCAGCGCGTAAAAGGAATGGTGGCGATGGGAGTAGGGCAGCGGGAAGACCTGGCAAACGTCCTAGAAGAACGGAGGGGGCTGGGGAGCTGGGGATGTCAAGGCGAAAATCTGGGACTCCGTCCGGGCCAGGCCGGGGGCGGCAGGACGAGGTCCGGCGGGCGGCGGCCTGGCCGCTGGCCCACCCCGGCCACCGATCCCCTTTGCCGCGGCAGACGGGCCTCCTCCTACCAGGGCAGGTTTCTGATCTTGGCCGCCACGGGCTGCTGCTGCTCCTGCTGCGCTGAGGTCTCCATGGCGGGGTGATAAAGGTGTCCAGGTCCGCTGGGGTCGCCGCGGGGCCCGGTGACCTGCACAGTCACTAGCCGCGAGCGGGCCCAGGCACACTGGCACTTAGAGTTCGCGCGCAAAAGGAACTCTCGCGAGATGTAGCCTCCAGCTTCCGACTTCCTCCCTAGGTCCCGCCCCCTCTCCGTTGCCAAGGCGCCGGTTACTAGGTTACCGGGAGGCGCCGGGCGCCCGACTCCCTCCTGATCGGCCCTTTCAGCCCAGCGCTGCCCTTTCGCCGGTGCGGCCGGGCTTCCTGAGGCCGGGGGAAGCAAGAGAGGCCGGGTCACCCCCTGCAGCGGCCAGTCATCGTTACAAACTAACGTCCCACGGCGAAAGCCAGTTCCAGCTACCCCCAAAGTTCACAAACACTTAGAGTTCGAAGCAACAGAGAGCCTCCAGCGCTGAAAAACCCCGAGGGAAAACAACCCGAAATGACCGGGCCAGTTCTTGAATATAGATGCCCTAGGAAAAAAAAGGCTCGAAATAAGCTGGGAGGTGAGTACTTCGAATCGATAAACAACTCCAAACACGCACAACTCCGGTCTACCTCCCAGTCCATGCCCCTCACCCAACCCAATACGGAGAGCCAAGCTCCAGGAGCAACCCCAGACTGAAGACCAAAACCAAACTCCCAGTTAGTTTAATAAGGTGTAACTGGAAAGGGCTAGCTACTAAGCACAGAGGACAGGATCCCTAGGATCTGAAGATAGGGGAACGAGTAATGACATTTTAGTGCCTTTTTCTGCAATGAGATGGTTTTGGACCACTTTTATTTTTTTCTACTTTGCTGGTCTGTATTTCCCAGCCATGAGTATGACAAGTATGTATTGCATCTTACAGATTACATACTTTATCCATAATAAAGCTTTTTTTTTTTTTTTTTTTTTTTTTTTTTAACTTGTGAGAAAGACAATAGGGAGAAAAGAGGAGGCTGGCCTGGGGTCAGAAGGGTTCTGAATCAGAAGCGGCTGCTCTAGGAGCAGAGTAGAGGGGCAGTGAGGCAAATACAGGAGGGAAGTCATACTTCACGCTAGCCCCTGCCTGGAAATTCGGAAGCGGAGAGGGTCATCTGTGGCCTGTGGTATGACCGTGGCCAGCTGGGACTCTGCGTGTTCTGTAATCTCTACTCCAAGGTACCTGCCAGGATCAAACAGCACGTGTAAAGCAGCCGGCACATTGCCGCCTTACTCTCTCCTCCCCTTCCAGCACACTCCCCACCCACCCTGTTCTTGTTTCAAATGTTTCCTCTCAGGCAAAACCTACTCAAGAATCGGCTGGTGTGACTATACCCGCGAGGGCTGATTTCATGCGTCCACGTGACTGGACTCTGGACGCCCAGAGGGCTGGTAACACATTATGCCGGGGCTGTGTCTCCGAGGGTGTTTCTGAAAGTGGTTGGCGTTGGAATCCGTGGACTGAGCAAGGAGGGCCTAGACGGTGCGAGTGGGCATCATCCAGTCCACGGAGGGCCTGAAGAGAACGGAAAGGCAGAGGAAGGGCGAATTGGCTCTCTTTTTGAGCTGGGGTGGGTATCCATCTTCTCCTGCCCTCAGACACCAGTGCTCTTTTGTCTGAGGCCTTTGGATTCAGACTGAATTACACCTCTGGCTCCTGGGTCTCCAGCTTGCAGACAGCACATTCTGGAACGTCTTGGCCCCCATAATCATGGGAGCCATTCCTAGGATATGTAAAATATAAATATGAATATAAAAATATAAAACATATTTAAAACACAAAATATATTTATTATACATAAATGTTATTGATATATAAAACATATATATCAATATTACATATACAATGTAAAATATATTGTAAGTCTATGTAATAAAAAATTAATGATGTATATATAATCATTTTGCTAAGGGGCCTTTGTCTTAGAAACACGGTGCCACCAGCTCTTTGAGCTGGAAGATGTGACTGAGACTAGACCGAGTTCTCATAACATTCTGTGTGCAACTGCTCTTCGGTTTGCTTGGAATGCAGAATTCTTCTGTGTGGCATTATCTTATATATTTACAAGGTCATGTGTTGTGTGCCTCCCCAGTGGATTGTAAGCTCATTGGGAGGCAAGGCATTGATTCATTTGCCACTATATTCCTAGTGCCTGGTGCATGGCTCAGAGGAAGCAATCAATCAATAATTGTTCCATGAAGGAATGAGCAATAATAACTAATACTTCTTAGACAGTTGCTAGGGGCCAGACACTGTTCTATGTACTTTGCTTTACATTTATTATACTCACTCAGTTGTTGCAATAAGCCTAAGCCACTATCGTTAGCTCCACTTCATAGACTTGTTAAGTAACTTGCCCAAAAGTTTAGTAGGTTTTCTGACTTGGTATAATGGTCGCAACTGGATCTAACCAGGACAACAGCCCAAATTCTTAGCGAGCTCAGCTAGTGTGGTCCCTGGACTAGCAGCAGCAGCAGCAGCATCCCCTGGGAACTTGTTAAAAATGTTAATTATTCTTGTCCCTACCCCAAACCCACTGAATCTGAAACTCTGGGGGTGGACCCAGCCATCTGTGCTGTAACAGGCCCTCCAGGGGATTCTGATGCACTGGAGTTTGAGAACCACTGCCCTCCACTCCCACCGCTTCTCAGTCCTGGAGCTTGCCATCACTTTCTAAGACAGAGAATGGGTACTCACACGCATACGCCGGAAAAACAGAGGTGTCCATTTAATGTGTGTCTGTGCGGTTTTGTGTGTTGCTGGTTTTGTTATTAATTGAATTAATTAAAGGCATAGCCCTTAAGGCAAGTTACTTAATATGTCTTTGGTCCTCAGTATTGGCATTTGTGAAATGGGCAGGCCAATATTCAGCCATGAGGAATGGCATCCATAAGTTGCCAGGGTGTACGATTTTTTTAAGGGCCATCAAAAATTTAGATTTTTATGTGAAATTACTGTATGTTAAACATTGGCACCTAATTTAAAAAAAAAAAAAGAACTGCTGGTCAAGCACAAATGCTGGATCATTTTGTGACTTTTTCTTTCTGAAATACAGATGATCAGGCAGAAGACACAGTCATTCCTTCTGACCCTCTGCCTAGATTGTAGACATTCTGGAGAAATAAGGATAAATAAAGCCGGTAGCTCCATGTGAATTGTGACACTGATGAGCATAGGCACAAACTTTTCTTATGTAATCAGAACCAGATTTGGAAATGCTTTAATAAAACCGTAGGTCCTAGAGATGGCAGCATCAGAAGTTACAAACAAAATTACCAACGAAAAGCATTTGCTCTTAAAATTGACTTAGGGGAAGGGAGCCCTGGATTTTATTACTCTCAGCTTTGGAACAAACTTGGCTTTGGACACAGCACTTACTGCCTTAGTTTATTTTTAAGATTTGTTCTTATGAGAGAATGGGATGCGAGGCTATCTTTGGAAGATGCTGGCAGAAGAAAATCAAACTGGGTCTTTCTCCTGAGCATGTTTGTACTGGTGAAATCATGTTTAAATGAAGAGCAAGGACTTGAAGGAGGAAAAAAATCTCAAAGGGGAATTTGAAGAGTTTGTGTAGAGGAAGGGCCATTTTCTTTGGTGACCACAGCCAAATCATTGACTGATAAGGACTGTAAATTCCTCAGCTCTTTTGGGGGCACTCGCTGCCTTCAAGGACTTTCTCTTTGTCGGAAGCCCCAGAATGCCCCACATCAGGGTTTAGGGAAATCCATTCATCGTCCCCTAAAGTGTGTTCGTTGAATAATTAAGGAATGGTTCTTCTTCGATTCCCAAATCTGATGCTCTTTAACTTTGAGATTGAAAGGGTGATTCATATTAATTTGCTCCACGGGCTCAAAAAATTTCACATTTCTTAATTTTTCTAAATTCCATAGAATATGGCTTAAGATCCTCCACTGTCTCTTCCTCAAACCAAGGGAGCGTGGAAATTCATTCTGTGGGCGTTGGGTTCCTTCCATTCCCTGGGGTCAAGAAGGCGAAGAGGTTGTAGGAAAATAGGCCAGAATATTTGAGGAAGGGCTTTTAGTCTTCAGCTGTTCCTAAAGTCTGTTGGAATAGATGCTCTTTGTCATGAAGTTTGAGGCTTAGACTTCCCTGGGCCCCTCCTTTGAAATTCTGCCACCTTCTCCTTCTCACCCACTTACTAACTCAAAGCGAGGTTCCAGAACCAATAGTATCAACACTCCTTAGGAGCTTGTTAGAAATGCAGAATCTCTGGACCCACTCCAGGACTCCTCAATCAGAATTGCATTTTAACAAGGTCTCCAAGCAGCTGGTGTGCAGATTTCAGCTGAGAAGCCCCAGATACCACATAATGTATCTCTCTCCCACCACCTTGTTCCTCACCACTGTTCTGCATCGCTAAGTACGGAATTCTTCAGGGAGCGGGACCACTGGCCTCTCACATAACACTCCCAACCTCCTCCTTGCTAGGGGCTTAGCACTTTGATAATTCAACTCCAAGTCCAAAAGTTCCTAGGCGTCTAAGCTCCCCTGAGCCAGGCAAACCCAATGCTCCAGGACTCTGAGGCTTAATTGCTTGGGGAAAAGGAAAAAACAAAACAAAAACAAAACAAACAAACAAAAACAACAACCCTTAGTTTTTGGTGATGAGTCCACAGTGGAAAGTAAGTCCATTAATTTCTCTGTCACATTATACTGTCACACTAATAATAGGTCCTCTGGGCTGGTGAAATTTTAAAAATATTTCTTCTTCTGGAGTCTTCCCTGTTTCCCTCTAGTTTGAGCCCAGCATCATTGCCCTGGACTAGACTCTGGGACCATCTTGATTGAAAAAGAGGAAAAGGTGTTAATAAGGAAGGGATGGAAATGTAGTTCCATTATCCTGGCTCTGTTCGGTACTGGTCCAGGCATGGACAACACTGCCTTTGGGTCTATGGAACAGAATTGCAAGGCAAAAAGCATTTAGTGTGTTACCTGCTGTACAATCTGCGTGCAAAACAAAGGGACCGTTTCTCTCTCCTCTCTCATCATA